ACATTTTATGATTTTGATGTCCTTTTTTACATCTTCATGTTTATCCTTTTGCTGTTCCTTGTATTTATCATCACTTTCACAAATAGGTTTTTTTTTTAATCTTTTTGATCTGTGTACTGGCTAATTTAAGTGATTTACTTTCAAATTATGATTTCCTCTTTCCTATGTCTTCTCGCTCTTTTTCTGTTTAGAGAAAATATTTCAATATTTCTTCTAGGATAGGTTTAGTATTGCTGTATTCTTTTAGTTTTTCCTTGTCTGAGAAATTCTTTATTTCTCCTCCTATTCTAAATGATAATCTTGCTGGGTAGAATATTCTAGGTTGTAGATTTTTCCCTTTCAAGACGTTGAATATGTTTTGCCACTCCCTTCTAGCCTGCAGTGTTTCTGTAGAGAAATCAGCTGATGGCTTTATGGGGGTTCCCTTGTAAAGAACTCTTTGTTTTTCTTTTGATCCTTTAGAATCTTCTCTTTGTCTTTAACTTTTGTCATTTTTATTACAATATGTCTTGATGTAGGTCTGTTTGGATTCATCTTGTTTGGGACTCTCTGTGCTTCCTGTAACTGGATATCTGCTTCCTTCTTTAGGTTTGAGAAGTTTTCAGCCATGATTTCTTCAAATACATTTTCAATCCCCTTTTCTCGTTCTTCTCCTTCTGGAATCCCTATTATGCATAGATTGGCACATTTTATATTATTCCATTAGTCTCATATTGCTTTCATTTTTTTTTTTTGCATTTGACATTCTATCTGCTGCTCTGATTGGGTAATTTCCATTATTCTATCTTCAAGATTACTTATTCTTTCTTCTGCATTATTCATTCTGCTACTCACTGCCTTTAGCTCAGCTTTCATCTCAGCAAATTAATTTTCTAAATTTTCTTGGCTCCTCCTTATAGTTTCTAGTCCTTTTTACAGTAATCTGCATTTCTGTCCATAGCCTTTCTTAATTGCTTCAGTATTTTCATTACCTCCTTTTTGAACTTGGTGTCTATTAGACTGAAGAGATCTGTTTCATTGTTTGTTCCTTCAGGGGAATTCTCTTGGGCTTTTAATGGAAGTGGTTCCTCTGCTTCTTCATTTTGCTTATATTTCTCTTTCTCTGTGAGTTTAGGGGAAACAGCTATCTACTGTAGTATTGAAGGGCTATTTATATACAGGAGCCTCCCTGCATAGCTTGTACGGGTTTAATATTTTTTTGTCATGAGGGCTGTTTTTGGTTTGGATGATTGCCATCTCTTTCCTCAGTGTGTGCTGGCCATTTTCCCCTTGATAAGGGGTGTGCAGGCACGTGGCTCATGTAGGCTCCCAGGAAGGTGGAGGCAGAGGTTGGCTCTGGGTTGTAGGACCCTTGGCAGCCATTGTGGGTCATGCACCTTCCCAGGGAATCTGGGGCAGCTGTTGGTGCCCAGTCACAGGACCCTCTCTGGTGGTGGCAGGCTGTGCATGCTCCCAGGAAAGCAGGAGCTGTGGTTGGCTCCCCGTCACAGGACCCTTGGCAGTGTTCTGCACCTGTCTCTGGAGTCCGAGATGGCAGTGGCAGCTTGTACCTACCTCTGGAGCTCATATAGATGATGCCCTGCCACCTGAGAGTGTGTGTGGAGAAAGAAGCTCCTATGGCGGGCCCACCCCTCTCCTCACATGTCCCCCAACAATAGCACCCTCCCTGTCTGGTGGGCCCAGGCCTCCTCTCACACCACACTCTACCCCCCTCAGGCTGTCTTCATGCAGCCAACCCCAGTCCTCTCCCCCGGGTCTGACCAGCAAAGTCCAAGCACTTCAGCACACAGCCCCCACCTGCACCAGCGATGAGTGTCTCAGGTTGAGGAGTGCTGGGTGGGTGGCACTGACCATGTGTGCAGGTCTCTCTGTGCTTTGCCCTCTGTAAACTGGTTGCTGTGCTCTCCTCAGAGGCTCCAAAGCTCCCTCTCTGTCCTTACTGATCTCCTTGCCAGTAAGGGGACTTCCCAGTGTGTGGAAAACTTTACCCTTTCACAGCTCCTTCCCAGGAGCACAGGTCCTGTCCTGATTCCTTTCTCTCTCTCTCTTTTTTTTACTCTTTTTTCTTTTGCCTTATCCAGAGATTTTTCTTGCCTTTTTGGAAGTCTGAGGTCTTCTGCCAGAATTCAGTAGATGTTCTATGAGAATTGCTCCACATGTAGATGTATTTTTGACGTAATTTGTGAGAGAAGGTAAGCTCCATGTCCTACTCCTCCACCTTCTTAATCTGATCTCAAGTAGGGGGTTTTTAAAAGCTCAGGCATATTGCTGGGGATCAAGAAGACCAAATGCTTGTGCAGGACTGTATGCATGGCCAGGGAAGACCTTAAGGAAGCCCTAATCCTTCAACTCTGACTGACTTTGAGTCTCTGTTGAAACAGCAAGTGAAAGCCAAGGCAGAATTTTATAATTGGAGCATATAAGAAGTGCACCAACATACACAAATCTCTGTCAAATCATGTGTTGACCACTAGCTAACAAGGCACAGACTGAAATGACCCACTCGGCAAAGAAAACAGACTTTACATAATTACTCCAGGAAAGTAACTAAACAAACAAACAGCAACAACAACAAATCCCGGAAAAGCGGGGGATCTGATCTCCAGTGTTACTATATTATATTTTTTAAAACTTTCCAACATTCAACAACAACCAAAAATACAGGACATGCATAGAAACAAGAAAGTATGGCCCATACAGAGGAAAAAAGCAATCAATAGAAACTGCCCCTGGGAACTTGTAGATATGGGATTTATTTAATAAATTCTTCAAATCAGCTACTATAAATATGTTTAAAAAACTAAAGAAGCTATATATAAAGAAATAAAGTATGAAACAATGTCTCACCAAATAGAAAAATCAATAAGTAGGTCAAAATTATAAAAAAAGAACCAAGTAGAAATTCTCAACTTAAAAAGCACAGTAACAAATGAAAAATTCGCTAGAGGAGCTAAATAGAACATTTGAGCTGGCAGAAGAAATAATGAGTGATATTGAAGATGGGTCAGTTGAGATTTTCTAGTTTAAGAAAGAAAAAGAAAAAAATATGAACTTGTGAGATATGATCAAGCATAACATATATATATATATATATATATATATATATATATATATATACATGGAGTACCAAAAGGAGAAGGGAGAGTGAAAGGGGCAGAAAGAATATTTGAAGGAATAATTGTTGAAAATTTCCATGGTTGCCTCAACAAAACTGAATCCCTTACATGTGTGCAGAAAATGAAGTTTCCAGTGTATTGGACCAAGAGCTAGCTGTCCATCGAAATTCTAAAACTACTTAGACAAAACACATAATGTTCCTCCAGATTTTCTTCAGACTGATCTCTTCTATTGATAATATGAATAATAAGAACACATTTTTATTTGAAGTTATGGCACAAATATTCATGCAGGTATTTAATAAGGAATAATTGTTACTAAGCTTCTTTGTCATAACATCAGATGCGACACCAATCTCATTAAGCAAGCTTTGTTGGATAAGAGAGATCCAAAGAGAAGAAGACATTTTAAAGCTAAGGAAACTCAAAATAATTGATCTTTGGAGCATTATGTGACTGGCAGTAAATGAATTCTAAGTACAAGGAGGACTAGTATGCATGTGTTGTTTCTCCTCAGCCTTGAGGGTTTGGAGAAAAAAACAGGCATCCATATAAGTACAACCTGTCTTATATTACTTCTACTGTCTATTTAGAGCCTTAATATTCTGTCTCCGAAAGACCCAGATAGAAAAATTGATCCATTACTCCAACTTTGTCTTTGCCTGGGTAGCTTTCTTGGGATAAGTTTGCTGCACCCCACTCTAGATATCTCATAGTCAACTAGGTATACATAGCACCTATCAGATAATCTAAATGCATTTTACGTGTTTGTCTCTCCCATTAGACAGTGAAATTTTCATTCATTGCTGTATCCTTGGGGCCAAATATAGAGTGTGGAATATAGAAGTCATGTCATAAATATTTTATTCATAAACTAATAAATGAATGAATGCATGGAATACAACTGCTTTAGCCTAGTAAGAAGGTGATAGGAGAAGGAGATTCCTCCACTCTTAACTTAAAGGAGGTCAATTTTAGTGTCAAATAGTGCCAATCTGGCAGGAAAGAGTTATCATTATTGACTAAGTACTGAGATATTCTCCTTTGTTAATGATGTATATTAAATTTAAAAAATCACAGAGGGAACTTCCTGGTGGTCCAGTGGTTAAGAGTTCACCTTCCAATGCAAGGGGTGCGGGTTTGATCCCTGGTTGGGGAGCTAAGATCCTACATGCCTCAGAGCCAAAAAACCAAAACATAAAACAGAAGCAATATTGTAACAAATTCAATAAAGATTTTAAAAATGGTCCACATCAAAAAAGTCTTTAAAAAAAGTCACAGAGAATGTACAGATAACAAAGCTCAAGGATTAACAGTGCTAGAACATACTTTATGCTCAACACGTACCTGGTAGTTAACTGGCAAGATAGGTTTAAGGCAGAAATAACTAGTGTGTTTGCTTTAATAACTTGGATTTCTTTAATGACTGAATCATACTTTCTCATTTCCTTCAGTTTTCATCTAAATAACAACTAAGATGTTCAAACATACTAAGCAAAAAAACGACTCGTTATGTTAACACCATGCCGACACAGAAAATTTTTCTATTTTTATTAAAAAAGGATTGAGGAAGAGCTTAGGAAGGCAAAACATAAAGGCTGAAGCTCAAGGGAGAATAAACTTGTATCTATATTGAATGTTTTTAAAATAAGCAAAGGTTTCATAGGCAAGAATTTTTAAATCACTCAAAGTAGATTTGAAAGACCACGTGATTTGAAGAGAAATACTATTGTTTAATCTCAAAAACCAATCTGCTCAATAAGTTTAAAGATTCTTACACATATTGGTAACCTTTGGCAATTATCTTTTGTAAAAACCTATACTTTAAAAGAATATATATACTTATTCCAGAGAAAAATAATAATAAAATAAAATTCCTCTTACCTCATATATATTGAACTGTGATTGCCCTCTAGAAAGTTCCCTATAGCTTGTTGTAAATTCTCCAATGAAATCATGACTAAAATTAAGGGGAAAAATATACATAGTATTAGTTTTCATACATTTGTTAATTATGTTTTAAAGCTTTAAAAAATATAGTTTAATCATGAAAAATGCTTGATATTATTATGAACATAACAACGTGATAATTTAAAACACACTGATACATAATTTCATTGTTCTTTAATTGTTACGCATACGCAAAATTACATTTTGCTAGTATTCAAAAAATATTTAATTTATCCCACCAATGCTAATATTTCAAATAGGTATATTAGGTTTAATAACTCATATCTCAAAAGCATTTCATCATCTATGCTATCCAAATGATTAACTATTAATTAGGATGAAAGTTTAAGACACTCAAAAATTTATTATTATCCATATCAATAATCACAAATATAATATACAAAATCTTCAAACTCTTCTATGACCAGGATGTAATAGGACACTAGTTTTAAAAGGGACATTATTATTATTATTATTTTATTTTTTTATTTTTTTATTTTTTTGCGGTACGCGGGCCTCTCACTGTTGTGGCCTCTCCCGCTGCGGAGCACAGGCTCCGGACGCGCAGGCCCAGTGGCCATGGCTCACGGGCCCAGCCGCTCCACGGCACGCGGGATCCTCCCGGACCGGGGCATGAACCCGTGTCCCCTGCATCGGCAGGCGGACTCTCAACCGCTGCGCCACCAGGGAAGCCCCAAAGGGACACTATTTTTAAACATTAACATGGAGAATATTCACCAAGCCTTAAACTAATAATTTTAAAGTACATTGTTAATACAAAACATGGTTATTCTAAACTTCTTTACCTTAAAGCAATCATCACTGCCTTCTCAGAAAGCAGAACTTCTACAGGTGCCTTCTCAGTTTAGGTGTGGAAGGGTAAGGATTGAGAAAGCATATGTTATTTCTCAATATAAAATCCTTACCAATGTGATTACTGAGGCTGGCTTATGCAACTGTAAAACAGATCTTATGCATGCACCAGTTTAGAAGGGAGGTGTATTCTACTACTCTGCACTAATTTAATGGTCAACACTAGGTTGAACACACACTGCTGAGAAATAAACATAAAATGCTGGTATTTGGTGCAGTGGTGAAATGTAATGCATCAGAGGAAGAAGATAAAGACTGTAGGAGCTGAAGTAGTATAACAAACATAGGGGGTGTTGTCACTGCTATTTGTATCATAAGAGTTTAAGCTTGGCCCATTTGCTTGCAAATGTGAGGTGTTTATTACCATAAAAATGGATATTTTCCCCAAACTCCAGGCAGGTTTATGTTTAACTGTGATTCACTAAAATCCATAAACCTCCCATAGACCTGATGACCAGTAACAAGCAACAAGCAAATTGTGGCTAGCCAACCAAACTACTGATTGGTAAAGCTGGGATTTCAAAGGAAAACTTGCTGCCATTAATTTAAGTAGCATTTTTGTAATAAAAAAAATATATTTTTTAATTAAGATAAAACTCAGATATCCAGCCTCCCAGTTCTCCCTTATCTTAAAGATCTTTTACATTTATGACAATAGTCTATACAAGGCATTCCTCTTTACACCAGTAGCACCTTGACCTTTTTTAGATTTAACTTTCAAAAGCAGATCTACACACATGAAAATGATAAAAGGAAAGACCATTGAAGACTGTAACCAAATATATTTGCATTTTTGCATTTGTGAATCCAAACCTCCAGTATCCACTCTTTCAATTTACACAGGGAAAATTACAAAACAGTACTTTCGTGCTACATATTTCTTATAAATAAAATAATTCTCTTTGACTTTTAGAAGTGCAAGCTTATAACTGTGATATCTCTCACAGAAATCTTAAAAATTCTGAGTTATGGAAATTCTGCTTAGAACCTATCCTCTTCCATTGCTATGTGTGTTTTATATAACTTAAGTAATAGTCACCGAGAAAATGTTCTATTAAAGCACTTTAAACACAACACTTTGATATTGGTAAGTGTGGACAAGCCTTGTATAACCAGAGCTCACCACACTTGTGGTAGGAACCTAATATTGAAGCCTTAGAAAATGGCTGGATCATTTACTCTCTCATGGTAGTTTTCTGACTGTGTAAATTCTACCCCTGTTTGGTTCATTGTTTAAATTCAATGTTTAGGCCTCCTGCCACTCAATACTAATCAAGAACTTGGGTGAGAGAAGCAATAGTTACTGGTTTCCATTACTCAGTTGAGATTAATTATGCAATTACTCAATCACATCTCAAGAACATGTAATACATCCATCTGGATAAAACCTGTCCAACAGAGTGGCAAATCTGGACCCAAGTGCAATGGTCAGGTTTCCTCAACTGCACACTGACATGCCATGCTGAAGTCATGGTGAAACTTTCTAAGAAGCAGTTTTTGAACATTTAGATCTGTTTTGTTCTTGTTAAATTTGTTACCCTGCAGAGTTGAGTGATTAACAAAGGGGTACAGTTCTCTTTGGTCTCAGTGTTAGGAATCTGTGCTGCTCACTTGTGTCCTATTCTGAAAAGACCCTGTTTATCATGAAACAAGATTTTTGCCTCTGAAGTTGGTTGTTAAAAGAGCTTAAGCCAAATTTGTGGCACATCTCTAGCACGATATGTTTTCATGATGTGCTAGGAATCCTCAGCAACCTTTTCGGATATCTTACTCTTATTTTCCCTTTGCTTCAATTTCCTCACACAGTTTAGTTCACTATGTCTTATTATAAGCTTCCTTGGATCTTTTCAGAATAAGACAGAACATAAATAAAGAATGAATAAAATACTTGTTCTCCCTTCTGAATCTTGTTAAAGATGATTATTTTGCATAAAACACTTAATTTGCATGTCATACAAATGCAATGCCATCCTTGTGCTGTAGAGGAGAAAATGTATTGAGTCACAAATTACATTTCATGCTCCAAGACAAGATTTCTGTGACATACAGAAAACACATCATTGCATCTATTCAGATACAGAGAAATGGATGATTAAGAATTGATGATTTGTCAAAAGGTCATAAACATAAGTGGCAACAGCAATGAAATAGCCAAGCCTAGACATAAGGTACTTTGTCTCAAGAATACATCTGAAGAATCTGGGTGGATAAGTGAATAATTCTCAGGTCAATTTTGTCATAGATCTCTTGAAATGCATGGGAATTTTTAGTTTCCTTTGTCAACTGCCGTTCTTCAAATGCTATATATTAAATCATAGATAAGTACTTTAAAGTAAGTATTGAAGGTGGTTTTCACTGATTTATTCTTATAATTATCTTTTTCCCTATCATCAACCATTACTAGATTCTTCTGAGATTAAAAGAAAAGTAATTTAATATTTTTATCTGTTCACAACTGTCAATACTGTAATGTTGAAACAATTCTCACTATACAGAGAAATATGATGAAAAGTACTTTGATAATAAATTACAATCAACAATTTCCTTGAGATTCAATAATAGTTAGTGCTTTGCTATTTCCTGTTACTTTAATTGTAACTAAAATAATTATTCTATGTTATAAGTCTCAATCTCTCTGACTGCACATACAAAATAAAGTTTACTGCAGGGTGGTTGATCTGATTTGTGTCCACTTACATCTCTAATTTTTTTCCAAAAATTTTTTACAATTGATATATGTTACTTAAAATCTGAGGAAATAAACCAATATTGAGAGCAAACTGATTAATATTATAGGTAGTAACTTGGCTCTAAAATGCCTTGTTTGAGTAAAGTGATTAAATTTTTGAATAAAATCTGAATATTATAATCATTTCTATGCTCTATTAATAGTGGAAAATGGGTATTATGTATATTCATATTTATATCTGAAACATGTAGGACATGTTTAACAAAGTGTCCATCTTCCCCTACTTTTGGTATCTTGTTTCACTTATCTTTTACTCTACTGCTTTGCTATTATCTCCTCTAAGAAATCTTTCCTGCTTTATGCTCTTCCTCTTTGTTTAAAAAAAAAACCCCAATTCTCTCTATCATCATACTTCCTATATTGTATAACAGCTGCTGTTTATATATCTCCCCTCTTAGCTTTTATAGCATACTTGAAGTTAAGAAAGATGATAATTTCATCTCAGTATTCTCAGCATCTACTTCAGTGCCTGGTAACCAATGGGAATTTTTGAATGTTGCAAATATACTCAAGTTAATATCATGGTCATGCTGTAATCTTACCTTGCCAGTAATATTAACAATTTTGCCTCTCATGAATTTTATTTAGTCCAAAAGAATGGCACAAGTGCAAAACATATTAGCCATTGCTACTCTATTTCTTTGAAACAACTCTGAGGGTTATGTTGATAACTGTTATTTTCCCATAGAAATGCACCCACATAATCACACAAAAGACATAGAAAAAAGAGATGAGAATATTGCCTTTGCTTGGTGTTTCCAATGATCTTCCTGAAGATCAACCTGCTTTAGGCAGAATAGATGATGCTTATTTTCCTCTCAGTCATTAAACTAATTTTTGCACATAGGTACAAATGACAAATACATACTGAATCCATCTCATCCCTCTCTCTCTCATCATGTTGTCTTGAGTAAATCAGTCACTTTGGGGTCTTTATGTCTTCACCTAAAAATTGGAGGCAATGTCTATTTACTGTTTTGAAAATAATCCTAGATAATTCATTTGAATTCTTTCTGTGAAAGGTGTTTGATTCCTTATAAAAGACATTACTGAAATACATTTTTCTGATTAGTAAGTAATATGACTCTAGACACTTATATGTATAGTTTTAAAGAAGCTTTAATCAAAATAACCCTTTGAAGATGTAACAGGCTTATGAATTGATATTTGGGAGTTACACATATACCTGTGGCTTGTACTGATCTTATGTAAGAATGCTTAATTCATTAAGCATACCTCTCTTTTGGAGTGTGACATATTTCAGGTGTGCATTAAAGAATGTCTCAAATGAGAACTTGTAAACAAACTGTATATTAAAGATAATTTCTCTAATTGGGATACTGAAAAGATTTCAGCACAAAAATTGGCAGGATCTTTCCTATTTGAAA